TTACAGGCATGCGCGACCACGCCCGGCTGATTTTTTGATTTATTGTAGAGATTAGGTCTCACCGCCCAGGTGGGTCTTGAACCCGTGGTCTCAGGCAATCCACTCACCTCAACCTCCCAAAGGCGCGGGATTACAGGTTGAGCCACTGAACCCGGCTTCTCAGGCTGATTTTATTTGTGTAGCTACATGAATGAAGTAAGCAGATAGTTGATTTAACCTAGATTTGCCAGATGAATAAATGTGTTTTTAATAAATGGGAGACATTAGAATTATCATGACGTCTAACAATAGAAAAATATTAAATTAATTAAGATAGAGCCGGACACTGTGGCTCAGCCTGTAATCCCGCGCCTTGGGAGGCTGAGGTGAGTGGTTGCCTGAGCTCGCAGGTTCGAGACCAGCCTGGGCAACTTGGTGAGACCTCATCTCTACAATAAATCAAAAAATTAGCCGAGTGTAGTAGTGCACGCCTGTAGCTCCAGCTACTTGAAAGGCTGAGGCGGAAGAATCGCCGGAGCCCAGCAGGTTGAGGCTGTGGTGGCCGGGAGCAGCCACTGTACTCCAATCTGGGCGACTGAGTGAGATTCCAACTCAAAAAAAAAAAATTAAGATAGATATGCTGGATGTAGTGGCTCACACCTATAGACCCAGCACTTTGGGAGGTGGAGGCGAGAGGATTGCTTGAGCCCCAGGGGTTTGAGACCAGCGTGGGCAACTTGGTGAGACTTCGTCTCTTCATTAAATCAAAAAACTAGCTGAGCGTGGTGGTGCATACCTGTAGTTCCAGCTACTTGAAAGACTGAGGTGGAAGGATCACCTGAGCTCAGAAGGTCGAGGCTGTGGAAGTCATGAACATGCCACTGCACTCCAGCCTGCGTAACAGTGAGACCCCGACTCAGAAAAGAGTCCGGGCTCTGTGGCTTGGCCTGTAATCCCAGCGCTTTGGGAGGCAGAGGCAAGTGGATTGTCTGAGCCCGCGGATTTGAGACCAGCCTAGGCAATTTGGTGAGACCTCCTCTCTATAATAAAAAAAAATTAGCTGGGCGTAGTAGTGTGCGCCTGTAGTTCCAGCTACTTTGAAGACTGAGGTGGAAGGATTGCTGGAGCCTAGCATGTTGACACTGGGGTGGCAGTGAGTGTGCCACTGCATTTCAGCCTGGGTGGCAGAATGAGACTCTAACTCAAAAATAAAGAGAGATACAAGGCTGGATGTAGTTACGCCTGCGTGTAGTCCCAGCTGTTTAAAAGGCTGAGGCAGGAGGATCACTTAAGCCCAGTGTAGTTCAAGGTTACAGTGAGCTAAGACCAGCCTAGATGACAGAGTGAGACACTGTCTCTAAAAAAACAGAAAGTTTCCAATATATTTATTGGGAAAAATTAGCATATAAATGCACCCACATAGTTCAAACCCTGTTGCTCAAGGGCCAACTGTATCCATACCTGTATTTCCTACTTTACTGAATGAGCCTAAAGGCAACAATATCTCTAATAACAGTGAACCTAGCTAGCACCTTGATCTAGGTTTCTGCTCCCACGCTCCCATAAATGGAGCCAGGACTCCATTGAGAATGGTTGATTTGGGGACTATACCAGGAAAATTGTGCAGGATGAGCTCAACATCTTGTAAACCAAGACAGCAAGGCAGCATGTCCAAAGGACACAGGGCACAAGGTAAAGGAGCTCATGGTGACCAAATATGGGACAATCTGAGCAACAAGATAAATAGTGATGCATTAAAATGCAGAATAAAGGAAATATTCATTTTCTGTTTTAAGTAATTGAATAAAGAACTTAAGGGAAAAAGAACAGGACAGCTCATCTCAGAGTAACATTCCATTAGTAAGTGTAGAATGAATAATGGAGATAGAAAATCACCACTCGCTGGGCTCGGTGGCTCAGCCTGTAATCCCACGCCTTAGGAGGCTGAGGTGAGTGGATTGCCT